TTTTTTGGTTTTTCTCCGGTACCGGGAACCGAACTCACGACCTTGCGCTTGCCAGGCAGGCGCTTTTGCCACTGAGCTAAATCCCCAGCCCCAAGGACTGTTTTTAAATTCTGGTTAAATGTTTAAAAATAAAATCCCTGGGGCTGAAAGTGTAGCTCAGCGGTAGAGCACTGGCTTAGCATGCACAGGGCCAGGGTTCCGTCCCCAGCACTACAAAAAAAAAAAAGTGTGTAAAATAAAACTTTATTCTCCTGAAAGAAGTCTGTCCAAGACCAGGGGGAAGGGGCACTGTTTTGGAGGAAGAGGGAGGGATCTGAGTATGACCTTAAGGAGCCTCTGGCCACAGGGCCCAGGCAGAACAGCGGCATCTGAGGAAGACGGACCAGCCACCGAGGTAATCACCATGACGGCGCTTTCCCAGACGGCTGAGGAGACTTGCAAAGCTGACAGGAACCCTCTTGCCTCTACCCCATCCCTTGGCCCCTACCCCTTCGCCCTCTTGTCTACTCTTCCCGCCCAATCTCATGACCTTCCTGCTCTCCTGCCCACAGTGGCCTGGCCCTGCGGTCCACCTGGCACGCCACGCCCCTCGGTCCAGTGGCCCACAGCCTGCCATCTCTGCTGAGACCTGCTTGCTTTCCACACACACGTTCTAGGCCGAGGAGCTGGCAGCACCTTCTGACCACCCCATCCTCTCCTAGCTCTGACTGAAGGGAGGAGGCAAGGAGGCCAGAACTGTTTTGCGGGTCACAGTGTGGGGAGCCGTGGGAGCATGCATGCCAAGGGGCCACGAACCATGTCCACTTGCGTAAAAGTATTCAGTGCTGTGAGGAGTCTTGCACATGCGTGCACACACGCCACACATGCACCACACATGCACCGGAGACTTTAACTCCAGAGCCACCCTGCCTGGCTCCCTGCGGGCAGGCAGATGGGATCCCCATCCAGGGAGGTGCCTTCGGTACTGGGGTGTCCGGCTTCATCCCCTTTCCTGCCCCTGCTCTGCTCTCCGCTCCTGCAGCAGGAGCCCCTGCCCCAGCACAGCAGCAAGGCCTTGTCCAAAGCCAAGAGCCACCTCTATGAGGCAGGGCGCAGTCACGCGGATGGCGCCCCTCGGTGCCCGTCCTCCCATGTCCTCAGGTTCACAAGGTGGTCAGCAGCAGAACCAGCCAGAGCTTGCTGAGGGCCTGCCCAGCTGCTCTAGCCCTGTGCAACCAGTAGTCCTGGGGCCCAGGACTCTGCATCCTTAACGTCTGCTGCAGGACTCAGACACTCTGAAGTGCAGAACCGCCCGTGCTCCCCCACCCTCCCATTTACCCATTCATGGGCAAGGTGTGCCTCCAGGCCTCTTGGGCCAGCACAGAGGCGAGGCTGTGGGGCTCCCACCCTGCACGAAGTCCCTCGACTCCCAAGCACTTGAAGGTGACGAACTCGCTGGCACATTGGTCCCGGGGCCTGTTGACGACAGTGCCAAAGGAATGAAGCTCTCATGCTGAAATTCCAGACCAGTCACGAAGAGTGTGGCCTGGGGACAGCAGAAGGCAGCCTTGACCCTGGCCACCCATCGACCCTGCCTCGCTGAGGCCAGAGCCCGGACCGGGCCCCTGCCCACCCCACAGGTCTCCTGAGCATGGCCCTTGAGCAGCTCAGACAGAGGAGAACAGTGGCTCCACTGCCATCACTAGGCAACAGGCTGGAGCTGGGAGGAAATTCTCTATGTTTTAAATACATCTAAAGGAAGAAAAGCCAACAGGAGCTTCCTGTTCCAGAAAGCTCCCCTCCCCCACCCACCTTCCCCGCCACTCCCTGCAATTATGCTTTGAATTCCAGTTTTTATCAGAACACCATGGAAACCATGTCCAGGCGGAGTTTGTGGAAGGAGTGACGCCAGTCGGGGAGAGGATGGGCCAAGGGGAGGGGGCACGGATCAGATAGAGGCAGACGTCTGTGGGCACCCAGTCATGAGGGGGCTTCCCGGCTCCCACTTTGCGTTTAGAGAGGCCCCCCCAGCATGCATGTGTGCAAACACCTGTACACACATGCAGTGCACACTCACACACACCCCCGTGGGAGTGGACGTACACATATGCTATCCATAAACACACATGCACATATGCACACACTACTGTGTACACAGACGCATGCACACACACTCAGGCAATGTGTGCAAATGAGCATGCACACACATATGTGTACACACCCACACACACCATGCACAGGTACACACCCAGGTTTCGTAGGACTTGCCACCATCAGGGCCATTCCTTGGGTCTGGGAGCCCTGCTGCTCCCGTCTGGCCAGCCCAGCTGTGACCAGCAGGAGAGTGGGGCCGTGGGGAAGCTCCCAGGCACTGAAGGTAGGTTGTTCTTAGGGCCTGGAACATGACCCTCTCAGCTCCATCCCTGCCGCTCCACCTCTTTCAATACTGACAGCCACTGGGTCAGCCCTCGGGAAGAAGAGCAAGAAGCCCCTGGCTCCCACACCACAGGGCCCAGGCCAGCCCGCGGCCCTCAGTCCTCCTCCATGGCAGATGGGACTGGGTAAACACTCAGGCGCTCCTCGAGCTGAAGGCACCCGCCTGAGGGTCTGCACTTGGACCAGCTGCCTGGCAGGGCACCTGCTTCACCCTCTGTGGGCTCCCAGGCCCGGTCCCTTCATACTCTCCTGGGGGTGCCTCTCAAATAAATAATCTGCTCACACTCAATCCTGGTTTAGAGCCTGCGGTCAGGAAAATGAGACGAAAACATCCCACACAGTCATAGGTAGGGCAGTGGGGGACAAGGCCCAGATGCCAGCACCCCGCCCAGACTCTGGCACGGGTGAGACAGAGGGCAGGACGGAGGTGAGGCGGACGGAGGGAGCAAGGCAAGAAGAGGGGAAGGGAGGAAGCCGAGGAAGAGGCGAAGGAGACAAAGGAGAGAAGACACGAACGGGACAGAAAGGAGCAAGGGGCCACTTGGAGAGACAACAGCAAACTGATTCCGAGAGGGGCCTGGGAGGCAGCGGGAAGAATGTTCTAGGCCTCAACCTCCCACCCCCAAGTGAAAGCCTTACCCTGCCGAGCCTCCGGGCCGCAGTCTCCTCCCTGCAACAGCTCACAGCTGGAAGGTTCCCTCCCCCTTCAGTGAGCACTTTACAGACGGGGAGACTGAGGCCTGGCAAGAGGGAGCGACCTGCCCAGGGTCCCAGCAACCTCAGCAGTAGAGCAGAGCTACAGCCTAATCAGTATCCCTCCCCAGGCCCGTCCTGGAGTTGTGTCCCTCACAGGTGATTGTAAACTCATGGCCGAAGGGACTCACGGGTCCTCTGTAGTTCCTGAAGCCTCCCGCGTGTTTGGCACATCACAGACACACGAGACAAACCAGGCCATGGCACCCTTTGGACACACACGCTTGTCCTCAGATCTGCACAACTCTGAGCAGAAGGGACAGCCAGGCTCAGCACCAGCCGACACACCTGGGGCCAGCTGGCCATGCAGAGGACCTTTGGGCATACCTTCTTGTAAGAAAACAGTCCTGCAGGCTAGGACGGATGGCACCCAAGGCAGCAGCAGGCGGGTTGCTCCTGGCCAGGACCCATCAAGAGGAAGAGCATATCGAGCCCCAACTCCTCCACCCTTGGGTGTCTCCTCCAAAAGCACCACCTCCAACCCAGGGCACACAGGAATCTTTCAGGTTATATATGATCCTTCCTGGTCCCCTTGCTCAGGGGCACTGGTTGGGAAGAAGATCTAATGGGCTTCCAAGCCAGCTGTCTCTCAGAGGGTGTGCAGACGCCTGAGGTTCTGCCGCCTGATGTCCAATCTGAAAGAAGCCACTAGCAAGATCGTACCATCTGTCCACTGCATTAGTTTCACCACAAAGCCCTGGGCGCCACCTCATTTGCCCCCAAGGCCCACAGCTCCTCTGTGCACTGGTGCTTCTGGCTGCTGACTACACGTGCAGGGCGGAGATTCCAGCGAGGAGCCTCTGCGGGAGCCCAGTGCTGCCCACACTCAGCTACCTACAGACCCCGCCTCCCCAAACTAAGCCGGAGGAGGGAAGGTACCCAGGGGTCTATGCTTCCCTCAGCAGCCTGAAACCAGCTCAAGAGAGCCAGAAGATCCAACTACCTCTGCAGCCTCAGTGCATGGGGGTCAGTGAGGAGGTGCCCAGGCTCAGGTGTCCAGTGACCAGCTTCCTTGAAAGCACACCTCCTGCTCCTGTGTGCTCCGTGCCTCCCAGGTGAATGCCTCATACTCCAGCCCTTGATGCGGGGTGGCCCTGGGAAGCAGCCTTGTGGTGGGGCTCTAGGCATGGACACAGACTAGCTGCTGATCATTAGTGATGGTCAAACACGGGGAGCAGAGAAGGAAAAAACCCAGGAGCCTCCAGCCCACCTACTGACTGTCCTCAAGTTCAAGCCTACCTTTCCATCTGCCAGTATCTGCTGCAGTTTTCTCATCATCTGTGAAAGTCCCCCGGGGGCTCGTGCCACCTCAGTATAACTCCACTGCTTTTTTTCCCTGGGACAAAGTCCCAATATGTAGTTCAGGCTGGCCTGGGCTATGCAGCCCAGGTTGGCCTTGAACTTGTGGCGATCTTGCTGCCTCAGCTTTCCCGGGGCTGGCATCGCAGGCCTGTGCAACCATGCCTGGCTTGCCACTACTTTTAGTGCCTCCACATCTTCGAGATGCTCAGATCTGCACCACAGAGCTGCCTCCACTCTCCCCACACAGATGTGGCTCTGAGGGGACAGGTTGGGGCCCTGATGACGTGCAGCGCCCGATCTCTCGCTTCCCTGTGAGCACAGTGAGCACATTTCTCACTGTGCTCTTT